ATAAATAGCAACTCCCCCTCCCCATCTGCCCGGCCTAAATTCATTCTATATTACTTCAGATTTTTGTCTTCATGAATCCAACACATTTATGTAAAAAATCCCAAACCAGTTTCAAATATGTTATTTAAAAATTTCACCAAGCTGTATCTAAACCAAATTAACATGCTAGGAAATGAAATACATTATTCCCAACCCAAAGTACAAATAGTACAAGTGACATTACAGAGACTTTTTAACTGATTAATACAGAATACTGAAGCTATTGTCTGCTACTCTGCAGTTGGAATATATTGTGATGTGCATTTACAAAGCAACAAGAGTGAGCGTCACTATGTTGGTATGTTGATTGTGGCATAGCTTGTTCCTAATTAATTAAAATTGTTGTGGGACAATATATTGCTTCAGCCAAGAATTTTCCCAAAGAAAGGACTTAACTTCTGTGAAAATTTGCTTGCAGATTAAACAGTTCTCTTAAAAATGGGTGTAGGACTAAGTAAATGTGTGTATAATCAAACTTTTACCTACCAGTTTGAAGAAAAAAAGACTGTTTGCTGTGTGACATGCCACCACGTTACATTTAGTCTAGACAGCACATGTGGCAGTTGTACCATCTAGCAGGCTGTAAATACAGTGACAACTTTTTCTTTTATTGTATATATTTACAGGCAATAAAGTCAACCTATAGTAATGAAATATATATTTTTTAACATCATCAGGTGATGTGAAGATCTCTGAAAATGCTCAATTACAGAATTGATTATTTTAAAAACTCTTCTCACAATTTAGAGGTGCCAGACACATATGAAAGAAATTAATGTTTAACTACTGATCCTTTGAAATTAGCCAGCCTTCTCTTTGCTGCAGTGTAGCATTGCCAGCAGGGCAAGGGAGGTGATCAGTTCTGGTGAGGCCACACCTGGAGGACTGTGTCCAGTTTGGGGCTCCCCCGTACAAGAGAGAACAGACATACTGGAAAGTCCAGCAAACGGCCACAAAGAAGATGATGAGGGAGCATCTCTCGCATGAGGAAAGGCTGAGAGAGCTGTTACTTTTCAGCCTGGAGAAGTGAAGACTCAGGAAGGATATCATCAATGTGTATAAACATCTGAAGGGAAGATGTTAACAAGGACAGAGCCAGGCTCTTCTCAGTGATGTCTGGTGACAGGACCAGAGGTGATGGGCTGTATTCTTTCATCTGGTGAAACACAATGGACAGGATAGCAAAATAATCCCTTGGATTATTTAGATTATGACGTTCAAAATGTAGTATGTGTAAGAGGAGGATTTTGTTACTATATATCTCATGTTTTACACTGAAAAATCTAATGCAAAACATTCTTATGGACATATTTTTATTAAACATGAAATATAACACATCTGCCTGTTTTCTGCAGTTCTGAGATCAAATTTTGTATTTTTCCCTATAAATTAAAAAACTTGTCTTTTTAAGCTACATTAATACATAGGCTACAGGACACTTTTCAAAATGAAGATTTTAGCCCTAAATTTGCACAAATTACAATATCTTTAGTTTTTTATTTTAATGTGTCAAAATTCAATCAACAATATGACTTCTGAGAGAAGAAAGATGAAACAAGAAAAGACAAATCTTCATAAAGGAATAAGGCCACTGTGGCTAACTCTGTGTTACCAGAGTCAATACAGTAGTCGCTTTCAATTTCCTAGTTGTCTTGAGGTTTGAAGTTGGTTCCACTAAGGCAAATACATTTTTGGGCATCCAGAATGACTGGATGTCTGACTGCAAGACCAGTTCTTTTGGATGGGCCTTTCAGATCACATTACTTCAGAGTCAGGTGACTCAGAGCATCAGACACCTCTGTTGTGACTTGTGCTGAAGTACTAGTTGGTATAATGTTCAAGTAAATATCGTACTGTTGGTCCATGCCCAAGTAACTGTCACTCATGAGATACAATGTGTAGATACACCTAAAATGTGAAAAGCAGAATCATTAGTTTGGAAATCAGGTCTTGTCTAATTGGAAAAGATAATCATTAACAGAACTTATTTTGTAAATTTGTCATACTTTCCAGGGGTTTCTGGAGTATAAAAAGCAACAGAAACAGTATTTCGATTTCGGACATATCCAGTTCTTTTCAGGGCGATGAGTTCTTTTTTATCGACTTCTCCTAATATCAAAAACCATCCTTCATCTTTAACTTTGGGGAATCGAGGAGCCACTGCTTTACTGTCCTGCTTTCCCTGTTGGGGAAAAGAAACAGCTTAGTAGAACTAGAAATCACCTCTCCACAGTGCCGTTCTTTGAATGAAGAACACCTCAAAGCCACATGGCCATGAATTGTTACGTAAGACTTTAATTTACGCAAAAATATTTATTTCCAGATAAAGTTTTTATTATTTAAAAAAACCCAACCCAACCATAAAATCACAGTCCACAGAGAAAAAAACCAGAATACGAGATACTATTCCACTTACTTTGTAAGCTGTTACAACTCAAATGGAAATACTGCTCCCTTTTTGCAGTTTCATCTAATATATTCCAAATGCTATTCTCTGCAGAAGGGTTAATTGTAAACCTAGTGTCTTTAAATAAAGCTAAACAGTATTGTTCAAGATTAATATAAAGACAAAAACAGCACTTGGAGTCTTTATTTGAGGTTGATATAGCAAAAGGGAAGATTATTTCAGTGATTCTTTAAGACAGTGACTTTACTGCTGCAAGCCGAAGATGTAATGATGTACACTCTATCAGTATTCATCTGGTGTTCTGTAGATGGAAAGGTTTTACTGAAGATTTATACAGAAGAAAAAGCATCACCGAAGCAATGGAAAAGAAAAGAAAAAGAAACAGTTTGATCCAGCTGTTTCTTACAAAAGAGGGATCAAATTCTAGGAGAGGTTTATAAAACAGTGATCACTGCATGAAATTCTCCTGTTTCCTTCTTTTCTGTGGCTTCTGGTTAGGAAGAGTCTCTGTCGGTAACTAGCACAGCAAATGGAATGACTTATGGAGGAGCTTTGATCCCTTTTCTTCCTACAAATGAGAAAGTCTCTCAAAGCTATGGTGAACCTGCTGTAGTCAGGACAAGTCATCTTTTGGGAAAGACAAATACTTTTCAAATATAATTATTTAACTGATGTAAATTAACTTCAGGATTTACAACAGAACATACATATCTCCATTACTACTTTTATCAAAATGAAGTTATTGTAAGAGTCTCACAACTAACATCAAAACTGTTCTCTGCTTATATCTATCTTGAACTCTTCTTTGTACCTTAACAAAAATGCTGGTAATTAGTTGTTTGAAATATTAGAGAAATTCATCAGCAATATTATAATCATGGTGGTCCATATGCCACTCATGGGATGCAAATGACAGAACCCCACATCTATAAGTCAGTGATAGCTACAATGATGGCAGTGTCCAATGTGAAGGCAGGAGGCATGGTCATAATGGGTATAGGGAGTTACTGCTGCAAGGGGCAGACCAGCTGGGAACCCACGCTGATGCTTCTGGCTGGGCACATACTGGGCCCAGCGAGGTGACCAGTCACAGAGGAAGTGGCATGTGTTTCATCTTAGGCGAGGAAAAGAATTGCGTATAGAAATTGTTCTAGGAGCTGTTCAAAAAAGCTTCATGTGTAAAATATGAAGAAAATATCCTCAGTAAAGGCCTAAGGATGTGTTACGAGTAGAAACACATTTATAAGCATGGGCCTGGTATGCAGTTTGGAAGTATATGGGAATGTAATAGGGAAGCTTATAAACTGGTTCGGGGAAGCAGGATATGCAAGGGTACGAGGGGGAGAGGGGCTGGCGAGGACTTAAATACTGCCTATGAAGTTATCATCTCTACTGTCACTGCTTACAGAAATTACCCAAAGAAATGAACTTTATGAGTTTCTGGTTTGTAAAAAGTAATGTTTTTTTTCTTTGAATTGGCCTAGGATTTTACCTTAAGAGTCATTTCCTATCCTATTGCAACCTGAAAAACCACTTGCTTCACTACTAACCCAGAAAAGGTTTTGAAGGAGTTCATAATTTACAGAAGACGTAAACCATAAACCCCCCTGTTATGCTGTATAAAGCATTATTGATAACATAAATGGGTTATTGGAAACTTGTGCTTTTGGGAAGGAAATGATAAATTCATGTACCTGATACCCCATCTGGGTTCTCTGCAGATTTATTTGGAGCACATACTCTTGATCAGCATGCAATTTGATCCATCTTTTGTCACCTCGTGTGTCTATTGCCAAAGAAGGAACAGGCACTTCATTCTGTGGTTGAGCTGGGTCATCCCAGCAGCCCTTAATGCTCAGGCTGACGCTTAGAATTGGCAAACGGCACAGGAAATTCCAAGCCTGTGGAAAAAACAGATCCCCGGGGATTACAAGACAATCTAGACAATCATTGTCACTGTAACAATAACAATTCAATGTGCAGTCTATGTATTTATTCTACAGTAATAATATTTTTTTATGATCATGTTCCTGTTCATTGCAGGGGGGTTGGACTAGATGACCTTTGAAGGTGCCTTCTGACCCAAACTATTCTATGATTCTATGTATTAGAATATCATACAGAGTTGTACAACTCTCATTCATAGGAATAAAATACTTTTATTAACCTCTTATTCTACTTCTAAGCAAATAAAACAAACGTGGAACTCCTCAAGCACATTATACATGCCCCACTAGTATTGCTGATGTCTGAACACAGGAAAAAATCCTTACCACTCCTGATTAAAGTAATTTTTTCCCTATAATCCACTTAAAAACTGGTATAATTAAGTTTTAAATTAAACTTCCTTAACATAATCCATAAAGAACAAGTCACTGCAGTGCTAATTAGCAATGGGCAAACCTCAGAGAGTTCAAGGGATCAGTTCAGATAATTAACCAAAAGTTCAACCACCTATCCGAAGTTATCCCTAGCTTTTTTTTTTTTTCTTTTAAGGTTTTCTTGCATTGCTCTTCATAAACTTTCCTTCTTATAGTCTCCTGAGGAATCTTAAGTCTCTGTGAACTACAACAGGCCTTCAACTTTCTCTCATCCTTTTATAGCGAACTGTTGTTAAAGACTTAGAATGTGTGTAGCTGAACATGACACTCTCCTCAACCTTAAAGAGGCACCCTGAAAAAGCAGCCTTATGGATCTCTCATTTTGGTCTCCATCAGACAAGGAAAAGCAACTCTAAGAAGATGTGACAAAAATGGAAGGGAGTAACACAGGCTTTCATTTGCTAAAAAGAAAATCAGCATATTCCCTCAATGAAATTTTTTAGGAAGAAGAAATAGAAAGATGGGTTGTGAAATGAAGGCGGTGATTTGTGGCCTGAAAAAGACAGATGAGGCTGGCAGTAGAAGAAAAAAAAACCCAAAAGAATGAGAACCACCCTCTGCCCTGCCCTCCTTCCCCTTCATCCCCAAACCAAAACAGGAACCAGCACTTCACTCGTGTTTTCAAGCAACACATATGAAAAGCTGGAGGATGGGAAAGAGAAGAAGGAAAGAAGAATACTGATCTTGGTAAAGAGCCAGCAGATGCCAAAATGGGAACTTGTGGGAATCAGGAGAGTAGGCATAGTTGCATGGGCAATACTGCATAGAACAGAAATGTTTTATCTGGAAAAAGATTAAAGTATATTTTATTTTTCAGGTATCGGTTTTACTATCTTGTGCTTCAACAAAATCTATTTTCATTTATATTGTGCTTGATGTCTCTGATTACTTGTTCTGTGCTGGAAGGCCTAGAGCCCTAGTAAGAGCTTAGTTTGCTTTTTGGAGACATCACTGCCACGATTCATACTGAAAGAATGGTGTATGTTAATACACAATTAGGGATACAGCAGACAGGGCCAGCAGACCTAAGACAGCCCTGCTGTAGGAAAAGGTGGTGCCATCCCTCTTTATGACACCCTCCCCACCAGTTAGCTGTTCCTCTCCCATCCCTGGTGCCTTGGCATTGCCATGATGTGACTGTGCAGCTAGGTGGATCAGCTTGCTAACCATTCTGGTGACAGCAGACAGCATGAACTTAGATCAGCTTAAAGCTGATTGTGGAAGCATATTCTCTAATCCTGTGAGAACTCTGAATAAGCATGAACTTTCAGTGCCACTGAAAGAAGTGGTCCAGCCTCCTCCCCTGCTGGCACAAGCATTCTCGTAGCCACTTGGCTATAGGCCATTCTGACTGCCAGCGAGAGGGCTGACATGATCCCTCCCCTTTTCATCCCCAGATGCTTGTTCCCACCTCCTTGCCTGAACCAGCCATGGCATTTGTGCAGCTCTGCAGTGAGCCGGGTCAGGAGAGGTGAAAACGGCACAGGGAGGGCAGGACTGCCCATTTCAGCTACAGCACAGACTTACGTTGGATTAAAAGAGCTGCCTTACCAGAGCCTGGCTGAACTAAATGAGAAATCTGATTTAGGCTAAACCTTAATCTCTCTCTCTCTCTCTTCCCTCTTCTGTGTGCTGCATGAGCAGCTGTGTCTGTTCAATGGTGAAAGCAGGGAGGGCTAGCTGTGAGCACCCAGGAGCTGCAGTGTAAAGCAGGGGATATCAATGAATGAATTGCACTGATGTTCTTAGCGAAGAAAGGATGGGAAAACTATAACAGAAAATAAACAGCTAGAATGTTAAGGGAAAAGATACTCCTCTTTGTCCGAGCTCTTCACAGGGAAAAAAAAAGGCAGCACCTTGAAGAAGGATAAAAAACACTGAAGACATTCTTAACTAATTAGTTGTTGCCAGGATTTCATTACATTTAACACACAAAATACTACTAAAATCACCTCAGCACATCACACTGGATGAGACAACTTGAGTAGTAACACCTTAACTGGCAAATGATTTTATGTTTGATGTAAAGGCTTTTAAGATGAAGCTGACTTTAGGAACTGTACAGACCTGCTGCTTGAGGCTCTCCGTGCACCGAAGCAGCATCCTTCTGCTGTGTTCAGCGGAGGCACCTTAATACCTACCAACCCGGTGATCACCCCTTCAGTTACACTTTTAGATCTCATTTACCTGAAAAACTGTTATGTGCACTACCTCAGAGGACAAGGCCTGTTACAATTACATTAGAACAAAGTTTAGTTTCAGCAGATGTCATAAAGTATTCTTCACTCCTTTAGTGGTGCTACCTGTCGCTCTGTTGAAGACTATGGCTTGGTCTGGTTTATACCATACAACCCCAATTATGTCAACCCCCAATTTATCAAAGGTTGTTATGTTCTCACGTAGCTTTTACAGGGCAAACAAAGCAAAGTAACTCTGAGTAACTTTCTAATAGGTAAAAAGGTAGTTGTAATATGTGAATTGGTCATTAACAGTTGGACTTATCTTGAAGGTCTTTTCCAACCTAACAGATTCTACAGTTCTCCAGACCTTGTGTATTTGAAAATTAAAGGCAAAGTTAGTACTATCTGATCATTGCCATAGTACAGACAGCAGGCTGCCTTTTTATCATCATCCATAATGATGATATTTTTACTGAGGAAAAAAGTTGAGTAGTAGCAGCTGAAAATGAAAAAGAAGGTTATACGAACACAGATACTTCCAGAGTAAAAGCAGCTAATACTACAGCACGGATAATATATAATTTTATTCAGTCTTAAGGTTTCTTTTTTTGTCTTTAAATAATATAAATACCAGCTTAGTATTTTACAAGGTGCCTAGTGCCTAACGCCTAAGTGTCTCAGAAACCGAGATTTGTTAAAGAAACATGAGTTGGAACGAATCACTGAAACAAACATGGAGCTTAGGCCAAAGATCAGACTTACAGTCTAAATAGTTTTTGAATTTAGACTGTCAGCTTTAAAGCCCTGCTGACTTTCAATCAGGTTTAGGATTATAACTAACTTTTGGAAAATTAAACTCAGGCTCCAACATCATTTAGTAATGTCTTGACAATTTTACTGTGTTTTTTTTTCTTTTTTTTGTGTAGGATGACACAAGCACATACTATCTCCTTTTACATGTATCAACATGCCCAAAGTGTGCATGTACATACATATTTACCTACCAAACCCATAGATACAAATCATAATCACATGAGAAGTTCTTCATGAACCTTTGATAATGTCATTAGCATTTTTGCCAATAATCTGTCTCCCCAGGACTTAGACTAATATTCCAAATCCATGAGCAGCTTCAAGAGCTGCTATTTAAAAATTAATTATCAATCTGATTAAAAGACATTTTCTTCTTTCCAAATGTGAAATTTCTTCCTTTTTCTGTCTGCCTCAAATTTACGTAAAGCTCAAGCTGTTTTTTTCCAGTTTCATGCTAGTAACAGGTTTAAGGTATAGATTCCATATACTGTAAGAAGTAGAACTTTTGCTAGGAAAAGAATGGTTTTGGCAATTTATTGGTGTACTTACCACTTTATTTGACCTTGTTCGGGTCTGATGCCAGGACACTAGGCTTAAACTCCATAATCTTATATTCTTTCTTTATGGAAAATATACAATAAAGATGCATTCTTTACTGAATAATTTTTCTCTTTGTTGTCCCCTGTCTAAGTGCACACTGAAAGCCTTTACATCGGAAAACACTCAACAGACAGACTCAATATGTATTTTAATTCTGTGCAAGGTATTACAATAATTTTTTTTTTTATTCTTTCTTTCTTCTTAAAAAAAAAAAAAAGAAAAAGAAGCCTTAAAGAATATAAAATATTGGTATAAAGGTTTCACATTTGCAATGATCCGCATAATTCAGTCATGGCTTTGCTATACCCAATATGGCCATTCCCAACTCAGGGAAATGGAACTTTCTCCTTCTATGCTGCTAAGATACTGTTTTCCCCTCTTATATGCATCTGTATTTACAAACACAGATATATAGAGGCATAGAGTCATTCACAGTGTGAACATACACACAAGCTATTTTTGAAGAAACTGCTAAGACATTTCAATACCAGCCAAACATATTTATCTGAGGATTAATCTTCATCTATTGAATCAGACGAGAACACTGCCATGCATACAATTATTTAATTAGCAGCCAAATCCTCTGCCAGTCAGCAGCCGTTCCAGGCATACTGATGGGGCAGTAGATGCAAATCTCACAGTAGTGCTGCTTTTTCTCATTACTACTGCAATTAGCACTTAAATTGATGCTTTAAACATACTAATTTCTGGAATAATTCAGGATTTGTATGTTACCTGGGATCGCCTCACTGCAGAGATGACAGCAGATTGCTACGCAAATTGAAGCACTTTTGAGCCAAATAACCATCATCATATCAGACAGAGCCAATCTGCATTTGCTTTTTAAGATAACAGAATGGCAATTTATGCAAATAAATTAAGTAAGTTTACTTCTGAGTTCTCCCTGAACTAATTATAACAATGTTCTAATTTTTTATCACATCTAAAAGTTGGACTGCAATCAATATGTATTATGTTAAAAATCTGTTGTTAAAGGAAGCCTTTTTTTGATGTTAATATATTTTCTTAATTCAAAATTTTGATGTTAATTTAGTTACAAATGCAGATGTCTGTTACAGACATTTAAGTACTTTTCTTCTTGTTTGCATACCAGTGAAAGGTTTAACTGAAGCTGAACAAACACTGGACATATTGCTGTTCTTTAAAATATTCAAATAAAAACCATGTGAAGTATAGCTTTTCAAGTTTTCATCTTTCATACATTTATTTGAAATCAATAGGCTTAACTGTCTATGGAATATTGCTGTCCTTTGCTGGGAACAACTTGAAAATCAAACTGAAAATAAGACTGTAGCAGCCTCAACATTTTGGAATAGTATTTTTTATTTCCCTCTGTGAAGTGTGAAATTTTCATCTGCTTTTTTCTCTTTCAAACAGAAAATGAGTCATGGATCTTCTACTAAGGGTATTCTTGGGAAAAAAACGATGTTTGGCAGATCACTTCAGAAAAGAGCTATGATGACATTTGCAATGCATGTATTCCTAGTGCATAGCTGGCTATGGAAAGGTGGATAACACTCAGCAGATTGAATGACCTAGAGAAGCATCTTTAGAGCAAAGAGATGTGGTAATATCAGCCATAAACCAGGCTCTGTTACTGGTTAGCAGGGAAAAAGTGAGAATAATATTAAGAAAACAAGCAGAGAAGAACCTTTAAAGCTAGCCAGTACCTTGAAATTAAAGCAATGAATGTGTTGCACATTATACAGAACATCCCATGATATTTACTGAAGGGGAGAAAGTATTTCTTTTCCCAACTACTCTTCCTTTCCAATCACATTGATAATGACCACAGATTGAGAGTATTACCTGTGAAATGTGTGCTGTTTGCAATTCACCATCCACAATGGAAGCAAAAACATGCTCTTTTCCTTCACAGGCAGCCATTAGTTCGGGAAGACACTCAATAGGTCCTTGGTAACCTCCATGGATGCTATTCCTTTTGCCTTGGCTCCACTTCCTGATGGAGACAACAAAACATATGCCCAGGGAGGGAAAGCAAACATTTGTTTTCAGTTGTTTTGGTGGTAAAAATTGATACTAGTTTCTGTTATTAAATGCTGGTCATTTATTTTTCAGTAGCATTAATTACTGCACCACCTAGGCATCTATAGAGCTTAGCATTACCTGTGATACTAGGATGGATACTAATGTATTTTTTAATGGATGAAAATAAAGAGATAATTAATATACAGAGTTAAATTTGTTAGGACTTGGTACCCTTCCAGTAATTTCTTGTTGATTTGTCTCGAATTATGGTTCTCAAAATAATCTGTGGAGGTTAATTAATCAATGAATATTGAAAAGAGAAATAGAAACTCCATTTGGGAAAGCATCACCGTGAAAGAACAAGTTCTGCTTCTGCTGCGTTAACGAACATTCTCAAGCACAACAGTGACATTCAAACACAATCAGCAGTCAGAAGTGGAATGAGATTGCAAACTTTAGCAATGCTTAGAAGAATTACATACCGAAAAAGGTAGAGGTGTTGTGGCTCTACATTGGGCAAAGTAAGCAGGGAAGAGTTGTGTATCCATCTACCCTGAACCACCATCTGCACCAGACTGGTTATATTCAGAGCAGTCACCAACCAGCCATGATGTGCTGCGACATCCAGCATTGCCTAATAAAAGGAGACATAAAAAACAAGTAAGAGAATGCAAAGATAATTCTGTACCTGGTTCATACAAGTAAGAGCATTTATTTAATATTTAATGCATAGGAATTTCTAGGCCTTCAACAGTAGAATTTACTTTAACCTCTACTGATGTCAGTTCGCACCTTTTGGATCAGCCTTGAAAAAAAATGGATTAAATACTGCATCATCATCATCATCAACTCTTACCCTTGAAAAAGTAATTTACACCATGCTTTTGGGGTGAGAGCAGAAAGTGGTATCTTTTCTTTACAAATAATCTCTCTTTTACATAATCCAACTCAGAATGAAAGGAATAAATCTCAAAGTTTACTGTAAAGGAAGAGGTTACAAGTAACTGCAGTATCGGTTTATATTTTGACATGAGAGCTTGCAAAGTTATTCAAAAATCCTTGAATTATTTAAGAACAACAGCAACATATTTGCATTTGTTCAAAAATTAATACTAATGTCACTTACCTGTAGCAGTTATTTTTCCCCTTTTAACCTCAGGACTTAAAAATATCTCTTGGATTGGACTAGATAAAACCACTAAAATTTAGCTTAATGAGCACTTTTGAGGTTTTGTTCAACACTGACACCTAACTTGAAATCTTGAAGAAAGTTGACAAAATAGCTGATAGTCTACATAGGGTGAGTAAGAGCAGTCAGGAAAACCATGGATTTCATCCTTTGCATTGTAAACAGTTGACAGTCTTGAGAGTGAGGGATGCTTGGCTCTCTCCTTTCCTCTCTCTCCTGAATTGGAAAAGCTTTCCCAAAGTACATTAAAAACCCATGCAAGCAAAAACCCCCTATACAGCAACACGTCACACTTGAAAGCGTTAATGATCATCCCGCCTTCCATGTCTCGCTTCTGCTCCATTTCTACTTGCTGTGTTTTTGAGAATACAAGTAAAAAGTATACTCTAAATATCGCTATCATAAAGATCCAAGTCTGCAAAATTCATTAGGGATTGTGCAGTGTGAGTGGCCCTACTGACATGAAAAAACTGTTATGCCTGCTTTTTCCTCACTTGACTTAAATTGTTTGGTTTGTCTGAAAAAGCATGTAAGAGTTCTTCCTAAGGAGAAAGGATCGAAAATGAGCTTTTAGCTTCAACATTTTGTTTTAATAGTAAATGCAGTTATTTGAATATATAGTATATTTTCATTCTGTCTGGAGTATGATAAAACAATTATTTTGATTTATAGAAGCCTTTCAGCTAGTGAAGAAAATTATGCTATATGTTAGTTGTCTTGCTTAGTTTGTTGTTTAATACCATTATGTTCACAATAAAGTGTGGGTCCTCATTTTACAACACTAATTCAGTAGACAGTCATGTATTTAGAAGTGGTTTGCCAAATAGGAAATGTGGAGTTTGACTGAAATACTACAGAATGTTTTTTAAGAAAGAAAGAAGAGAGTCTGGCATATTGAACAGTTTCAGCACTTTAAATACCATCTTCTTGGTATTAGGAAAGTTGTACTTTGATTTTAGGACTAGGCTTAAGATTTGAATGGGTTTTTCTTTTAAAGACAAATGATATTGTTTGGTAATTCCTTAGACAGCAGATACCTGCATCATTTTAACGTATTTTCCAGCCACTAGTGTAATGAGGAGACGCTGTCTATGTAAGTCTTCACATTTAATCAAATGTTTTACAGACAAACAAAAGGCAGCATTTACTTAAAGCAAACTAAACAGTGAAATCTTCTTTAAACAAAGGAGTTGTTTACACACACAGAGCTATTTCAATTAAATTACACCGATTCGGGAGAAATATTGAGTTTAAAGACACAAGTTAGTTTCAGTCCCGGCCAGTCACACAGTTATTTTAGCAGTTTACAATGCAATTTCAACAGGTTTTATTCCAGGTGGGGGTGATAAGATCAGTGACACTTAGAAAACTATTTAAAGCATTACCCTGTATTATACTAATGTTGTCTCATTTCTCATGAATTGTGGATAAAGTGCCTTTCAGTTAATAAAGATGTAGATTAAACATTGAACTTGTCATTTTTGAAGGAAGAGCCATAGCACCCTGAAACACACTAATAACATTTCTAATGACCCTAGAAATAGGACCTCACAGCACAACATTGTGGTTTTCTTTTTCTGTTGTCTCACTTGGCTTGCCAAGGTCATTTCCAGGTATGATTATTTTACTGAATAGAAAATAAAATTATGTTAGAGATCACATTTGAAAGGAGCTGCTTCATAGCCTGTGGATTTATCTGTTGGTTCACACGATTTTTAGTCAGATAAAGAGGGAATTATTCTCAGCATGTACCAGTGAAGTCTGTCCTTTAAACTTACAGGGCGAGTCGCTCTTTACCTGCTTCCATGTTTTAAAACATACTGAAACTTACACATATGGTACAGTCCAACTCTCTGAGTGTGTTGCTGAGACAGTATGGTATCTACCTCCTATTTTCCGCTACCTCATTCTTGTTATTTCCTTTCTGCTTTTCTGACATAGCCTGAAACATTGTGTTCCTCAATGAGAGTGCTATATATACATGAAGAATAATGGCTGCAGAGATACCTTGTCTCTTCCACAAGCAGCAAGAATAATACAGTAAGTTGTGGTTTTAGTCAGCATGAAGCAGTGGTATTTTCATAAAATGCTTCTGAGGATACACACATAACACTGTTTTAATTGTTTTCTTTCTTTTATTTTTTTTTTTTTAATCTATTCCCCTACCCCCCTCCCCCTTTTTAACAGAGGTTTGAAAAGGGGAAAGGAAGAGAGAAGACATAAGAGAAAGATAAATCAAAAACAAGCTATACACTGAAATTAACTGGAGGATCCTTTCACATAGAAAATCTCCTGGAAATTGATAGAGGCCTACAGATAGATATCCCGTAGGGAGTAAGGAAAGCCTGTGTGTGTGAGACTCTGTGTTCCACATTGTTATAATGAATCCACATGGCAAATCCTCTTTTCCTCCTTATTTTCTGCTTCTTCACCCATAGAATTTATTCACAGCATCTCTATCTGGACGTGAAATCCAAGACAGTGACATTGTGAAAAACTCAGAACAATGGTAAAGTTGTCTTGTTTCATCTGCTGCCTTGGAAACCTGCACGTTTCATTTTCCAAGCAGTGCAAAACACACAGATGCTTGATACTTACATGGTTATTGAAATTCCTATAAATCTCCAAATTAGCTATATAAAATGTAGGAACTACATGAAGAAAATAATATAAGAGACAAAGGAAAAAAGAGAAGTATTTAATATTTATGATAACTGATGAATAACATTTAGTTTCTCCAGTTTCTCCAGATGCTACTTGTTTGGCCTGTTGTTGTTGATTTTAAGTACAAACCAGAATAATTTGCTAGAAATTTGTGGCTTCTTAACTTAAACTCTTACTTGGCAAAAAAGTAAGTAGTTTCTAAATGTCTTATAGTTGTAAGATTGAAACAGATTACGAATATCATCCTTAACTGAGAAATGAACTAATTGGTTATCTGTCTTTCTAGCCTCAGAATTTCATGCCAACACAAGATAATTTCATCACAGAGAAAAAATTAAGAGGGCAGTGAGTGCCACAAGTAAACCAACAAATTCTAAAGATGCTTTTACTTACAGAAAAAACATACAGATATTTTTTGGTAAACTGGTAAGTAAAAAAAGAAAACCCAAGCCAAAAAGCCCTAAGCCCACCACTTTTTAAACTAAAGTAGAAAAGATGGGATAAATAGTTGGAGTCAAAGGAAGTACTGCTTCTTATAATGAAAATTATGTTTACCATCATCTTATTCGGGCCTCTTAATGCGCTTAGGAGAATAAACAGAGGCCTACACTGAGATGGGTTTTAATGAAGGTATCAGGCATTAGCTTTTAAAAGCCTTTCAAGCATCATACTTGGACAACAACAAGGTATTAATAGCAATTAGTGACACATCCTGTAACATTTTTGTCTGTTGTTATCAAAGATAGCTTGGCTTGTACCAACATGGGTAACAACAAGCTACAAACCATGGCAGGCATAGGACAAAAATGCTGATGCTCAATAACTGTCAGGTATGGCAAAAATTTTAATTTTGATGATATTCAAAACCGAATGTCAAAATGTTTGGATCAAAATCTTTCTATTTCTTTCTTCATTCCATTTTGTATTATTCCGTGCAATAATACAAAACTTTCAGTGCCTATTATTAGGTTCCCATCATATTTTCAGGAGCAGTGGCTGCTTATCCTTAAGTACTGAATTATTTAAACTGATCAAATTGTACCTTTCCGGTCCAACATGAATCTGAGATTTAAGAGTCTGTCTCTTTTTAGCCAAAATTACTACTGATGCTTGGGATTTAAATTATAGTTTATGATTCCCTAGCTTGAGGGGAAGCAAAGATGAAGGCAGGATGTAGGAGGGGTGAGTGTGGCAAACTGATAGCAACACACACTAATAGCAAAACATTGCTTTTCTCTGTTGCTTTTAAGCACTCTCAAAATAAATGCTCAAAATAACAGATACTAAACTACTCCATAATGAACATATCTACCCCACTTCCCAACCTCTACTCTCCATTTAGGAGATTTGTCTAGCAACTGAAATATTCCGATCGTAAAATCTTTTATTTTAGAAAGGTTTTGCAAAGTTTTAACACTGTTTTTGGTATTACTTTCACATCCTTCAATTGCAAGCCAGATATTCTGGATCACTCTTGTAGGGCTGGGTAGGCAGGGGAACAGAGACTCTACAACTAGCAGAATTTCTGATCCACTCAAATAACTTGAATAGCCGTGTTAAAATTAAACAGCTTGCATCTTATTAACAGAAACTGTGTACTACTTGGAGTAATTTGTTCTGTTTGAAGTCACCTGTAATATAACTCGGGTTATACTAAGTACTTCTACTTAAACACTGTAAATATAAATGTAAACATTGAAAATATAAATGTCAATATGTTGTGGCTAAATGATATTTAAGGAAAGCGGCAATGAAGTTAAATGAACAACGATAACTGCTCT